AGGGTATTGTAGTATGTTTCAATAGAGCCACATGATTGTCTCAGTCTGGATACTCGCCTTTTAAGATCATACATCTAAAAGATATCGGTGTCATCAAAGTAAGTTGTGGCAATTGAATCCCGTATTGCTTTTGCAGTGGGAAGGCGAATAAAATTACTAATCAATTTCGGCTCCATAGAATTGATTAGACATCCTTTCACAATCGAATTTTCTGTTCGCCATTTGTTGAATGTTGGGTCTTGCATTACTAAAAGGACACAAATTAATGTGCAAACAACCAATTAAAAATACCCGCAAGTGCACGAATCTATTGAAGTATAGATTATGTAAGTACGGGGTCGATCCCACGAAGAACTTGTCGGCTTCCTATAAGTTCTAATTTGAGTACGTAAAGAACACTAATTTAACACACCACAAATGCACAAATGCAAATTGGAAACTAAAAAATGAGTAAAGAAATGTAAAAGAAATGAAACAACACAAGAAACCAAAGAAAAACAGAAACAGCACTTTCTATCACCCTTTTATCACCTATTTATCACATGTGAACAGTGCCATGAACAGTGACGACCGGTCGTGAACAGTGACGACCGGTCTTTTTGGGCAGATTCATGTGCGACCGGTCGCCTGAACAGTAACGACCGGTCGTTTTTGGGCAGATTCGTTTCTCTGTTTTTCAGTTTCGACCTCTGTCCAGTGTTTTGCCTATAACTTTCCAACCGTACGTCCAAAATTCACGTTCTTTATACGGTTGGATTCAGCACAGAAAATGCAAGAACACCTCGCGGACCAAAAGTCCAAAACAGTTACGAAAATAAACAGAATTCAGTAAACAAGACACACAACGTATCAAACACACAACTCACACACACATTGGGGGGGAGGGGTTTTGGTTTGGTTCAAGTGACCTATTTCTATTGCATGAAAGTAAATGGACTTTGAATTTAAATGAGAATAGCAGAGATGAATTATCAAATTGTGAAATTAAAATGTAACAAACACTAGGGTTTCGGAATCCACCCTAAACAATTCTACCAAAATTCATGAATACTCAAATGATGAACTCTAAACATGTTGATGAAAATGTTCGCAATCAAGACCATGGGTCGTGGCTCAAGACGCATTGATCCTCTCTAATATACGTAAAGTGCATGGTTCGTGCTACAATACTTGTACCCTCCCCATAAACGAACCTAGGTATGGTTCGTACTTCGATTCAATTACAAGGAGAACCCATTAAGTTCAAAGAGAATATGAACATCACAAGAATCCTAATAGCATGGTGTTTACATTAGGTATTCAAGAAACCAATTCACATGGATGATTCTTACTTCATCCATTTATTGCTTAGGATAACATGAAGATACACATAATCCCAACAATCTCAAGAAGCATGCTTTCAAAGATGGCCAACCAAGGAAAAACACACGTTCTTGGTTATCTTACACAACTTCTCAACTTTAGCTACATGCATACAACCTAAGGTGATTAAGCAAAGGAAGCAAACACACATCATAAGATTCAATTAGTGAATGGGGTTCATCAACAACATCTAGAAATTCATACACTCAAGCATCAAAACAAAAAGGTAATCATGTTTAGGGCTTCAACCTAAGCCCTAGCTAAATAAGAAGTTACATTGAAACTAAGAAATTACAAGAAACAAATAAAATGAAAGAAACTAAGAACAAAGAGGAGAAAGAGAATGCATCTTCAACCCCTTGGATCCTTGCCTCAAGGCTCCCCAAGGTTCTCTCTAATTGTTATGCCATTCTTCCATCCCCTTAGTTGCTCCTTGCTCTCCTCCTTCTTGCTCTCTAGCTCTCAAAATCTCTGCAAAGTTTGGAATGATAGAATGCATAGATTACCCACGTTCAAAAGCCTTTCATACTTCATATTGCACTCACCTTTCCCTTGCCCATCAATTTACAGCTCACACTTTGAATATAAAAGTCATTCTTTCCTCCAAAGCCTTCACCCATTGTCCCCTTGCCATGATGAAGCTTTGACTTCACAAAGATGCAAAAAGCTTAAGAAAATATCTCATTTACAAAGGTAATTCCGGAGGTGAAAGCTGGCCAAAATCGGATTTCCAGAGCTGTGGTAACATGCTGGATTGGTTGGATAGGCAATACTTGTCCAATGGAGCTCAAATTGGATATGTTGTAGTTAACATCCATTGGAACAAGTCTCATGAAGATCATGACCTCATCCGAGCACCAGAGCATGTTGATCCCAGGCCAAGAAGTTGACCTACGAAAATGAACAAAAACAAAATTTATAACTAATAATGCACTTTTAGCTCATTTTCATTCCAACCAAGGTAAAATCTAAGAAAACACAAAAAGGAAGTAAAAAGCTATAAAATGTCAAGAACTAACTCAAAATAGTGGGTGAATAACATGAAAAATCATGTGTAAAAATGAACCGAACAGGTCCGTCTGGGGAGGTTGTGGTAGTTCTTCATTTATATATCCCAATTTGTCTTTGCCTGAGATATGCATCTCAACGACTTGGGACCATATGGTATAGTTGGTGCCATCCAACTTGATGCCAATTTGTGCAGTGGAAGATTTATAGGTTATAGTATGAGTCAAGATCTGGGTCTGGGCCTGATTCAATAACTGGGTCATTTTGGAGATCCATTCTTCTAAGATCATGTGGAAGGTGGTAGAGGAGTTGGTGGAGCTGCCTCCATGGGATGTGATTGACAGGTCTTGATCACCCATGGCGGCAACAACTAGGGTTTAGGTAGAGCAGAAATCACAAGATCGTTGCTCTGATACAATGCTAAAATAAGGGAAATAATTGTGTGAATTTTCTGTCTATTCATCTTCTTGTAGGAGGCTCATATATAGCACAATATGCCTTGAAGGCCAAGTAACCTTGGAGGCTAAGTAAAACTATAACTGCTGATTCTAATTATAGTAGGAAATCAGAAATAGAAAAGGAAACAAATTACAATCAATCAATACGGGAAACGTCAACTCACTCCAACAATTCCCAATAACAAATGAGGAAATTAAGTCACACCAATATGATTACGATCATTTTTCTTTGGAATGTTTAGGAACATTCAAATGACCTTCGTTTAATCATATTAAAAAATTTCATTATTTTACAATTATTATTTTTAATGGCAATCATTTAACAATAATGACAACACCAGTGGGTGAGATGGAGTTGTGTATTTTCAGTCTCTGATACAAAACTTCCAATTTATATGATAGTTTTCCTATCTTCTTAGCTTTCCCTTGACCATTGTTCCACTAGTGAGTCGGGAACAAAATTCTGGTCGCCTAACACCTGACGCATTGGATGTATTGGTTGAGTTAATTTTGGTTCTGTTAGTGAATCTCGGGTGGGCTATGTTTTGAGGGATATTTGGCTTGGTTTGTTGACCCACAGGTGTTTCCTAACCTACGTATTTTAGATCTTCATGCTATACTGTGATGGTTTTAGCTAGATTCGTTCCTCTTTGTTTCATGTTAGTTTTATGGCCTGTGTTTTTGCCTAGCTTTGTTTGTACTGTTCTCTACCCTTTGGGGGGATTGCAATGAATTGAAACTTCGACCCAAAAAAAAAACCGACGCATGAATTTTGTAATTATCAATTTGTAAGATTTCTTCTTTAAGAAATAGTTTATTGCAAAATATTTTATGACATGAAATCTTATAGATACTAAGAACGTGACGTATAATGTTCAATTAGCGTTTAAAAAAAATTTAAGCATGCATTTTCTTTGTGTATTCACGCAGAATTAGTTAAGCATTTGTTTTCAGTTCGACAAACTTCAAAATAATCTCGTTAAAACAATGGACTTAAAGGTATTTTACAAAATTTCTTTATCTAGCTAAACTTATTTAAAAGCCTATTGATGCACGGGGAAGTGCACGTTAAAAATCAAATTTAGAATATTTGACCACGTGAAATGACATGAAAATTGATAAGTTGCTTCAATTAATTTTTTAGTTTCGTAACAGCTGTATGTCTGGTCTTTGTAAATTCAGATGAAAAATGTGAATGACTTGTCTGTAGCTAAACAAACTTATTTAATCCCATCATCGGCTTTAACCCCCGAATTTCTTTCCTAGTACAAAACGTAAATATTGCTCATGTATATAGGTTCTTCCTTTTGTAATGGTTATCATTTTAGAACTCGAAAGCTAGTTTTCAGGTTTTAGTGGAAGGAGATGGAGAAAGAAAGGGAAAACAAAAATTAAGATACAAGTAAAATTAGTAAAAGAATATTCCATTGTAGAAATGAGTGGCATGGGAGAAATTGATGCAAGAGAGATTGCTCTTGTAATGCAGCTTAAGGTACATTTATTTGCTTGTTACTTGCTTCTTCTTTTTCTCAGTTATTTTCAATTTGCTATTGATTCATTATTAGATTTGGAAATTTTATGATGCTTAGAAACTATTTGTAGAATTTTGGAGAAAATATTTTGGATGTCATTAAAGGAAAGTACATGTGTTTATGAGTTCGTAGTATTTTTTGGAGAATTTTTCGGGATTCGGCTGAATTTTTGATATTTTCTTTCCCCATGTGTGTGTGTTGGTGGTTCCAAAGGAAAAAAAAAGGGGAAGGGATGGTTTTTTGCTGGAAACGTGAGAACCCATTCCTTCAGTTCCTGCTTCACGAGTTTCTCTTTCCAGAAACCCATTCTCTCCCTTCTTTCTCCTTCAACCTTCTTTATACCATAACTTTCATTCTACAACTCCAATTCTTGCGCCGTTTCCGGCTTGGATTTGGTTAAGTTTCGAAACTCTCCTCTTTCTGAGTTAGTGACTGATTGAGCTTTAATCTCTTGTTTCCAAGTGTGGTTTGGGAGAATGATGGTCACTAGGCAGCTCATTGAAGGTTGAAGATTACTTTGGAGCTGTTAAGGTAAGATTTGTTTGCCATAGTTGCGGCTGGAATTCTAGTACAGTTTACATTGATTTAAGTGAGATTGTGTAAGTGATTTCGGATGTTATTTGATGACAGGCGAAGTACACTAGGTGCAGAATCTACCTTGGGCTGAACCTACAGAGAACTCAGAGTAATTTTGGGTTGAAGTGGAAGTTGGGTAAGTTTCTACTTTCAAGTTTGTGGCCTTGGTAGTTGGGTGTGTTGGATAATTATGAGTTTGCTGAGGATAATAGTCATTTTATCTTAAATTTGGGACTGTTTTGGTGTTTAAAGCTGATTAGAACTGAATGCCAAAGAATGAGATGGATGTTGATGAAATCTGCATTTATGCAGAAATCTGAGTATGTGTTCTGTTCTGGACAAATGACCTAGTCCGTATTTATGTTTTAAACTGGGTTTTTTATGGGTGAAAAATAGACATTTCGATGAGTATTTCAATTCAAATCTGATTTCATTCAAATTGGATTTTTGGCAAATTTTCAAAGTTGGAATTATTCTGCAGAAAACAGAAAACTCTGCAGGCCTATTCTGCTTTGGATTTAGTCTTTGTCTTGCTTCCTTAACTCGGAATTCAACGAAATTTTGATATGTTGAAGTTTTATATGTCTACTTGTGATCTGGAAATTTTTACGCCATTTCGAATCAAAATGGATTTTTAGTGATTTTCCAAAGTCAAGGTGTTCCTGCCTAATTTGTTAAACAAAACTGAAGTTTCTGTTTTTAAACGAAGTCTTTGATTTCTTTTATAAGTCCAGAGCAGAACCACATGATCAGAGACTATCCTAAGAGCTAGAATTGTCCTAAGAAGTGGATAATCTGGTTTAACAAACCCAAGAAGTGGAAGTGGGTTGTAAATCAAAGTGATAATGTGAGTTGGAGTTTGATGTTGATCCTTGTTGTTTATGTTGTGAAAATGGACAAACACTTTCACTCACTCCCCTAATGATCTTGTTGTTGATGGACTTTGTGACACACACAAGGATGGATGAATCACACACACACACACTTGAGAAACCAACCAAGCACAAAGTGACACAAGTATTTTAGAGGTTCAGCAATTGCCTACATCCTCTTGGTGATCCTCTTGAGAAATTCACTAATGAAAGAATAAGTTACAACTTTGGTTTACAAAGAAACCCCCTTAGAACTCTATTCTCTCCCAAGCTCTCTTTT